CCTCTAGAATTAATGTAAAATAGATGTTGTGAAACTAATACATTTGTGGTAATTTATTACAGATGTATTAGGAAATGAATACAGATGGGATGTGAGGGAGAATAAGTCACTAGAAAGTATTTTTGGAATGAAGGTGCAAGATGTACTGCAGCCCAGTGAAGGAGCAGGTTTGGGAGGGAGTTACATGCTGTTCCAGCTTAGTCAAGATGTCACCTCTCTGTGCCTCAATCTCTAAGGTGGGATAATAATAGCACCTACTTAATAGGATATTATATTTAGGGATGAGTAGAATAATTTATGCAAGGTCCTTTTACTTGGCATGTGCTCAAGTGCTGGTTAATAAAGAATAATGATAATATAGAGACGACACACTGTGCTGTGTTTTAATCATCATGGGTCATTAAACAACTTTAACCACTTGTTTTATGACTAAATGCTTTTGTCAGTGTAGGAATAAGAAATAACTCGCTTCCTTGTTTAAATGGGATGCCCACTGTACTATTATTTTTCTCCAGACTTGTGCATAAGTCTTCTCAAATTTAGATGCAATTGCATTTATTTTAAAAAATGGCATTTTGTTCCTCTCTTATACTAGACCTTAGATTTGCCCTTACTAAAACCTACATAACTAGAATAAAACAGGATGAGAATGCTATGCTTTAGAAATGCCAGAGCTGCAAGATAACTATGTCTCAGTCTAYGGCCTGGTCCCACAGTGTGGAGATTAGTAAAAGACAGAGGAAAATTATTTCACAAAAATTTCATGCCTCTATGTAATAAGGTGCCTGCTTATTGCTGAAGTCTGGTATGAGATGAGCCCCTGAATAATTAACAAATAGCACAAAAGGTTTGTTTCAGGATGAGATCAAGTGCTTCACCTGAGTTGTGGAATCATGGAACATGTTGGCATCATGACAAAGGATAATACTCCAGAGGGAAATGTAAACACAAGTGGCCATGATAAGCAGGTAGTCTCAACTTTTCTTGTTCACCAAAAAAGTACATAGAACATGAATGACTCTTAGAACCCAAAGTTGTGGGGGAAAAAAAGTTCTTTTTAAATGCTTGGTCAAGAAATCTTACTAATAGACCCTGGGCTATTTCCAGTTTTTGATATGAAATAAACTGCAATAAACGTTCATTTAAATAAAGTCTCTAAGCATTTGTTTTTAATTATCTCAAGTGAACATCTGAGTAGAAGTTCCTTGTTACGGGGTATAGGTAAATGTTTAGCTCAAAACTTCTTTTAGGGAGGAATCAAGAGATGGAATAAGGCTATGTTTAGAGAAAAAAATAGGCAGACTAAATTTGATTTTTTTTCTTATGGTGGTCACACCAAATTCTTGGTCAAGGACAGCACTTAAAAATTCTTTTTAAGAAATCTTTTGTCATGATTTCATTTCTGAAACTGGAATTTCCTCTTGTAAACTATTTGTTTTACTGATTCAATACTCTGGGCATTTGTGCCATTACTAACATTTCACATCATATTTTAAAATGAGTCTCCTTTTTTGAGATAGAATGTAACTGTTTGGGGAAAGCTGACATTTTTTTTTCTCCTTGTGATTTTATTACTTCATTGAAATATTGAGAGTAGACATTTTAATAAAGCTCAAAATATTACCAAAATCAACACCCCACCAAAAACTTGTGTTGATTACCCCATTAAAGTATCTTTTTAAAAAATAAAAATAGATTAAAAAATAATCTTTGATTTTGAAGAAGAAACTACTGGTCTAGAAATATTCTAGGATTTTATCTATTCCATCCCATTTCTATGACACTTGATGCAGGATTTCCAAAGGTATCTTTTTCCTGATAATTTAAAGAAAGGCTTTATTAAACACTCTGAGAGCAATGCCAAGTTATCTGAACTGGAAAAAGATTCTGCTGATCTAAATATTAACCAGAAGCAAGTCTCCAGCCTTTGTTTCAGATCAAGAACCTCAGGTACCATCACAGGCCATCTCTGGGCCTAGTCTAGCAAACGTCAAGCTCGAAGTCAAGGTCCACGCTAAGGCTGCATTTGTACATGTTTCAGTAAAGTTTCAACCTCTGATTTGAATGAAGAAAATAAAAAAAAAAAAAAAATTGGCTCACCAATCCAACCTTTTAGTAATGTGAAGAACTGAAGCCAGAGTTTTTTGAAAAACTGATTTTTCAAAAATCAGACTAAACAAACATGAATTTTAGAAATTCATAATATGAATATAGCACAATTATTTGAAATGTATACAAGTGTAACTTTGTATGTATGACTCCTGACATCAGAAAATCTCCATACCTTTCATAGGAAACCCTGAGAAAAAAGCTTATAAGACAGACTTAAGAGGCAGAAGTCTCCATATTCTAGTCAAAGGGTCTCTTGTATTTATAGAAGGCTTTTACCTAAAAGTCAAGTCAGCATATTCTTGTCATTGAGAGTTCAGGACAGGGAGTCTGGAGTTTCAAATACATTCAATTAACAGTAGGCAGCAGGAATACATAAATCTTTTTATAAAAAATTTATTTCTCTGTAAATACAAATTCCAACATCAACAAACAATAATCCAGTGGAAAAATACTAGCCATTAACATTGAAAACTTTTTTCTTAGTTTAATAAATAGAGCTTTGGCATTCAAAATTCTAGCTGTAAACCCCATTAAAAGATAAAACCAAAAACAACCCCTTTAAAAAAGGAGGCAAAAGTGATAGGTCAGAAGGCATAAGCCAGCCAGTGGCTTCACATTCTTTTTACAATAACTGTATTTTAATTAAGTTATGAACACTGTATTTACACATGAGGTATTTTGGATGGTTCAAAAACTGAACCTAGTTTACAAAAACCACCAGTCACAGTGACTGATTATGCACTCAGCTGTGCTTTTAATGTAACCCACCTAGCACCTTACTACTTCTTGCCATCACACCAACATGACACTGAACTTTACATTTATATATTTAAATAACTACTCATATATATCTATGTACATACATATACACAACAAATGAATACATTCTATAGGAATTCCTCACACTATACAGGGAGGCTGGGCTCCAAGAACGTGATACTTCCTTTCATGTTCACTAAGGCATCCACTTCCTAATGACAAAYGTTCCTTGCTTAAAAAAAAAAAAAAGTCCTTAATCAAGTCTATTTAAAGAACAAGGTGCAACAATCATCACCATTCTTATAACTCATGTAAGATAGAATGAACACTTGCTGCAGGCAAAAAGGCACAAAARGTTCTCTCTGAACGCAGCTGCAACAGTGCTCCTAAAGACTTACTGATTTGAAACCATTCATATTGTATTCAATACTTCTTTTAAATAAGAAAAAATTCCCAAATATTTCCCCTTCATGATTAAATGTGTGATATAATCATATGGCAATTACTATGAATGGCATTTGGGGGCAAAGTTGGAAGTTTACTTTTTATAACAAATAGAAAATAGTTCCTCTTGTTTTGTGAACATTGAAAAGAACTGTTGAAAATGGAAAACAAAATGAATTAACTTTAGCTCTGAGAGCTACAGTTATTGGCAGTCTGAGTGAGCATGGTTATAAGAATTGCTTACCTATGTAATTACATATCTACAGTGATAGAAATCTAAATAACAGAATGCCAATAATCCAAACTCAAGTTATGCCTGAGCTGAACTGTGCTATGTAAAAATACTGTCCAGGTGTTCAGTTACTATGACTCAATGAACTATTACTGATATTTAAAGGACATTTTCCCATTAGTTTCTTTAAAAATATTCTCTAAAAGATTCCTATTGAGTTTTGCACAATGACAGAATTAATTTGTAAGCTTATTAGTAAGTCAGAAATGTACAATTTTCATTTTAGCAACACTTTCCAGCCCTTGGGATTGTCTTTAACAAGCTACTGAAAGAAAGCCTATTTCAGTTTAATAAACTGTCACAACCAAAATAAATTTCACTAAGATATAATACTGCTAAATTGAAATATTAAATCCTATTTCAAATATAAAATGGGGCCACATATTTTTAAAAATAAGTTCAGGCATATGTTACCTAGTCAATACTTAAACACTTCTTAAAAATTACAGGCCATTAAAAATTTATKAACAATCTAAAGTTTTTGTATTTTTCTGACATCAAATGAAAACAGCTTTTGTGCCCTTGACTCAGCTAATGTTGTTATGTGCATAGCCAAAGTGGATCTGTTATGGAGTCATATTCATCCACGCTGAATATGACTGAGTTAGAACAGGCTTTACTTCAAAGCGCAAAAGATCAATTATGACACTTCCTAAAAAGATAAGCATTTAATAATACACAAAAGCATAATTAAAAAGAGGTTTAATTATCTAAAGAAAATTTCAAATAGACTGACTTTAAAACTTAAATTAATTTCCATTTCAGGTATGTATCACTGTAATAACTTCTATGAACACTCTGGGGCAAGACACCATAGTGTTGCTATTTGTCTGTCTTAGCTGACCTAAGAGTAAAATATTTGTTTTTAATGTGACACCAATATTATTACTGACTGCTCTAACACAAGAGGGTGTGGGTGTCTTGAGGAAGGGAAGTTTTCTGAAAAATAAAAATTAAAAATTAAAAGCTGCCTAATTAGAATGTTACTAGTTTCATTTTTTTCTCAGAATTCCTTACAAAATTTCTACTTATTTTCTAGGCCCCTTTACAAACTTCAGACTCTAAGAAATTATATTTTATAATCCAAGATTATACTTAAACTATCATATCTTCATGCTTTTTTAAAACAAGAGTATATAATTTCCAAAGTGAAATACATCAGCAAAAGTTCCTGTTATATTTTTTTACCTTAAGATATGTTAATTAAATTAAATTTTGTTAAGTTTTAGAAAATTTACTAAAACAAAAAATCATTTCATCCCAACCAGGCTAGGTCATTATTCTTTCTGCTTGAAAGAATAATAACCATAAAACTCCACAACATAAACTATTAAACTTAGGAGATATTTAAGTAAGAACCTATTGACCCAAGGGTGCCTTATTTTTGAAATCATGGTAGGAAGGTGTGAATTCTATTCAAAGAGAATGTGAAAATGTTATTGGGTGCAATTGTGGCTGAACTGTGGCAGATATTATGATCCACTTTTCTGTAAAGGGACATCTTCACAGATATTAATCCTTGTAAGGCAGAATACTTTGCATCCATTTTTTTTTTTTGGTACAAATTTACTACTTTTTGATTGTCTTCGAAGAACTAACACTAAAAACCAGATGAATACATTAGGAAACCAAGTTTTTATAGTGACTAAGTCCTTTCTGAGGTCAGGGACCTTAGGATGCAGAATCACTATAATGCACTGATTTCTTAGTGGCCAAATCCTATAAAGAGGAGCAGCATGGACTCAGGCACTGAAAGAAAGGGAGATGTGATGTCTTACAGTGTATTATAGTGAAGTGTTGAACTAGAATCATGTAACAGTTTAGTGAGAGCTGTAAATAAGCCAACATTCTAAATAGAGTTTTCCTGGGTGTCTCCTTGAATGCCTTGCTCTATTATGCTTTCTCTGTTGAGAACAGAAAAAAAATATTTTCTAGGAGCAGCCTTTGTATACATATGCTTGGCAAGAAAACAGGCATATGATCTGCTCTCAAACAAACAATATGATCCTGACTGATCTATACATCGTATTCCCCACTTCTTTAGTCTTGCCTAAGTAAACCCTGACAATATTGAAAAATCAAACCAATTTATAGGGGACAATAGTTTACCATAACTAAGTATATTCAAAAGAATATGATCAATGCTCTGAAGAACTAAAACACAGATAACATTCATTTAGAAGCTTACATGTTGCATGTCTATTAAAAATCAGTTTATTTCATACTAATACCCTGTCCTCCAGATGAATAACTAACCAAGCCAAGTTCATATTCTATAACAATCCCTGTTATTAATGAAATATATCTAATAAAAGGAAATAAAATTATCATCTAGGTTTAGATTTTGTTTTATGTTAGTGTTAGTTCAGATAAAGAGCTGGCTTTCTCTTAATGTAGTTGCAAAATTAAAACAGGTACAAAACTGTTAAAATGTAAATGCTGAGACTTTGATAAATGAACTATCTTTCCAGAGTCAGTCTGACAATCTTTGCTTAACAATGATCTGAGGCCTTGTTTGCATTAATTATATATGGCTTTGTTTATACTGCCATATATAAACAAAAAACCGTAAGTGGTAAGAGATAGGATAAAATAATTTCAACTTATGTTAAACTTTCTTGTAATGTATAAATTATAGTGCTGATGAAAAAGATTATCTCATCAGTACTTCACACTCTTACAATCACTCTGGAGAAAAAGCTGACCTATCCCAACTCCAGAACCTCATCATCTCAGTTCAGTGATTATTTAAATCACAAATGGTTTTGCCTGCTGCACTTCTATTAAACACTTGCCTACTGTTGGAACTCTTATTCAGCTAGCCCCTGAAAATATCAAAATACAACACAAGTTTCCATATGAAAAAAATATAAGAATAAACAGTGTGTGCCTTTCTTAGAAGGTTTGATTTGATGCTTGAAATCCTTATAATTATGTGAACTTAAAAGCACTTACACACACACAAACCTCAAACACATATGCATATGCAAACACATAAAACCTACAGAAGTAAACAAAATCCTGTCCCTTTATCTGAAGGGCACTATTCACAAATTGGTCCTATAATCAGTAGTTTGGAAATTTGCTTTTTCTTGTTGACTTTATCACATTTTTCAAATGATAATTATTTTGCCTGATTARATAAGCCCCTTAAAAATCTCCTCACATTCCTATTTTCCCTCAATTAAACAAATCAACACACACACACCCACACACAGACAACCTATGTGCAAGTGGTATGTCACTTGCAATTTTCCATTGTAACTCTTAAAAAGAAATATGAAGAACTGTAACTCAGCAGCATTTAACAATGGGTCATTATTGCTGTGGGACCAACACTTGATCACTGGGTTATGCAGTTATCTCCCATGTCCTGAGCATAGCGGTCTGATATTGTAGTTCTTAATTCATCAATGTCTCTTCGTAACTGGCACACATCTGACAGTCTTTTAGCAAGTGTTTCTGAGCTGTGGTCACTTTCAGTCTCTTCAGCTGAACAATTCATTGCTGTGTAAATAAAAAATGGACAGAAGAATGACTCATTTTGCTTTGAATAAAGACGTTTTAGGATTTTCCTCTTAATCATCATGGAAACATAATATTATGCACTGAATATCAATGAGGCTCAGATTTAAACTGTGCATCATTTGATATTTAAATAGGTATTATCTACCTGGTCCTTTAAAATTTTTGTTAATTAAGATGTGTTAAATTCATACAGCAATACATAAAATTCAACATATTTTATTGATGACAATGTTCCAAAAGTGAAAAAGAACATAATCAAATGTCTCTTTCCAAGTTCAACTAGAGAACCCAGTTCTTTCCTTTTGATAAAATCTAGAAATCATTTGCAGAGGAAGTAGTTTAAATTTTTATGACTTCAAAATGGGTTTTTATTGGCATGCAAATATTAATTTTCAAAATATATAGAGGTTTGGGGCCCTATAATCCCAAACAACTGAATCAAGTTGATAGCTTTGCCCAAAGTCTCAGTAACAAGGAGTAAATCAGCTAGCTTTTACTTACTTACTCCAGTATCTATTTGTGAGCATGTCACAACCTAAAATCAAGCAGAGCCAGTGACTGTGAAATAAACCTTTCCTTCTACCTTCATTAGTTCTAGTAGTTTATTAAAGACATAAGGTCAGATAACTGTTATTTTAACAAACATTAAATGGACATTTGCCCTGAGTCCAGGGGTCATGCTAGATGTGCAGGTCAGTGGCTTGTTCTCAATGCTTTACACATGATTTCATAAACAACTGAGCACAGTGAGTATTGTGATAACCTGAACTACAAGCTCTAGAAGCACTAAAGGAAGAGAATAACCAGCCCTAACAAAAGAAATATCAAATACTGACTAAGTGGGTCAAGACAGCAGAATGAACAAAAGTATAGAGGCAGAAAATTAAAGAGTCTGAAATAATTTGACAAACTTCAATAAAATTAGTGTCCAGCTCTAAAATGATATGGTACAAATCATGAGAGAAGAATGACAAGAAATAAGCCTACCAAGGTAGGCAGTGCTATTTCTCTCACAGAGGAGAGTAAGTATTAGAAAACCAGATTCGAGGTTTAGAAGACAGATCACTCTGGGAAAAATGGACTGGGGAAAGGACCGTGAGGAAAAAGGGTTACACATAGTACGGGGATGAAAGATCTTGTAAGGAACAATCATAAATTTGGGTGAGGGTCAGAGCTTGGGGAGTTCACAGATGAAGGAAAAAGCAAAGAGAAGTAAAAAATCTGGGCTAGGGTGATAGGTGAATGTTGGCACTACTTACACACTGCAAGGAGAAGGTTTAGATGGGTTCTGCTTAAGCCATGTTGAGTTTCTGATGCCTATGAAACAGCCAGTTCTCAAATACACACAGATGAACTACAAGGAGCCCAGAAGAAATATTCTAGGCAGGGAAAGAGATAATAAAAAAACAACAACAAGGGGATGGGGGGTTGTGGCTCAGTGGCAGTGCGCTTGCCTAGCATGTGTGAGGCACTGGGTTTGATCCTCAGCATCATATAAAAAACAAACAAATAAAATAAAGGGTATTGGTTTCATTAAAAAAATGTTATTGAAAAACAAACAAACAAACAAACAAAAAAACACCAATAAAAAGTTTCTGGAAGCCCTAATACAGAAGCAGTAAGGAAATCCATGGAAGACTGAGACTGAGCAGTCACAAAGGCAAAAGCAGAACCTAGGGAATGATGTCATGGAAACCAAGGTAATAAGAGTTTTAAGGAGTGTGGGGAGCAGAATCAACAGCTAACCAAAGGAGTCAAGAGATAAAAATTCAATGAATACATTGCTTCTGGCAAAAGAGTTGGCTGGTCAAATTTTCACAATACCAAATAAATATAAGGTAAGGATTCCAGGTTTGAACTTTAATGATTGGAAGAAGTATATACACTGGGGTGTGGGGTGAAAGTAAGATTCCTGAATCTTTTGTTCATATTATGATAGCTCCATTACCATATTATGGAAAACATTAACAAATGCTATAGTAAAAAATGTAGGTTACTTATCTGGAAAAATAAGAGACCCAGAATAGCTAAAGCAATTCTAAGTAGGAAGAGTGAAGCAGGTGGCATYACAATACTAGACCTTAAACTATACTACAGAGCAATAGTAACAAACAGCATGGTACTGGGCACCAAAACAGGCTGGTAGACCAATGGTACAGAATAGAGGACACAGAGACTAACCTGCAAATATACAACTATTTTATATTAGACGATGGTGCCAAAAGCATGCACTTCAACAAATGGTGCTGGGAAAACTGGAAATCCATATGCAACAAAATGAAACTGAATCTCTCTCACCATGCACAAAAACTCAACTCAAAACGGTATTAAACTAGAGACTAGGTATTAAACTAGAGACTCTGCGTCTAATAGGAAAAAATGTAGGCCCTAATCTTCATCATGTGGATCTAGGCCCCAACTTCCTTAATGAGATGCCTATAAGCACAAGAATTAAAAACAAGAATCAACAAATGGGATGGATTCAAACTAAAAAGTTTTTTCTCAGCAAAAGAAATAATCTGTGAGGTGACAGGGAGCCTATATCCTGGGAGCAAAATTTTATCCCTCACACATCAGATACAGTCTCAGGGTATATAAAGAACTCAACAAGCTAAGCAACAAAAAAAACAAATAATTCAATCAATAAATGGGCCAAGGGCCTGAACAGACACTTCTAAGAAGAGGATATATAATCAATCAACAAATATATGAAAAAATGCTCATCATCTCTAGCAATCAAAGAAATGCAAATCAAAACTACTCTAAGATACCATTTCACTCCAGTCAGAATGGCAGCTATATGAAGACAAACAACAACAAGTTTTGGTGAGGATGTGGGGAAAAAGGTATACTCATACATTGCTGGTGGGACTGCAAATTGGTGCAGCCAATTTGGAAAGCAGTATGGAGATTCCTTGGAAATCTGGGAATGAAACCACCATTTAACCCAGCTATTCCTCTTCTCGGACTATACCCCAAGGACCTAAAAACAGCATACTACAGGGACACAGCCACATCAATGTTTATAGCAGCACAATTCACAATAGCTAAACTGTGGAGCCAACCAAGTTGTCCTTCAGTGGATGAATGGATAAAAAAAATGTAGCATATATACACAATGGAATATTACTCAGCACTAAAAAGAACAAAAACATGGAATTTTTTAGGGAAATGGATGGCATTAGAGAAGATTATGCTAAGTGAAGTTAGCCAATCCCAAAAAAACAAATGTTTTCTCTGATATAAGGGAGGTGACTCAAAGTGGGGTAGGGAGAAGAGCATGGGAGGAAGATTATTTCTAGATAGGGAAAAGGGATCAGGGGTCAGGGGTAAGGGGAATAGCAAAGATGGTGAAATGTGATGGTCATCATTATATAAAACATATGTATGAAGATTTGAATTTTGTGTCAATATACCTTATACACAGAGATATGAAAAATTGTGGTATATATGTATATTAAGAATTGTAATGCAAAAAAAGAGTAAATGTATAGTGGCATAATTTGGTGTGAACATACTTTGTATTATACACAGTTAAGAAAAATTGTGCTGTATATGGGTAATAATGAGTGTAATGCATTCCACTATTGTCATTTATGTAAAAAATTAAAAAAATGTAGGTTACAAAATGATTGAAAGGGGGAACAGCTCTAAAATGGTAGGCAAAAATCAGTCTTCTGTGGGTGAGCCTTTACTTCTTGCTTCCAAGAGATCATTCCTAACTAAGTCACCTCATGTTCACCTGGCAACCTTCTCCTTTTCCTCTTCAAGRTACATACCAAACTCCAGCTATTCCATGGAATATTCACAGCCATTCCCATGTAGATGATTTAGTTGCTTGTCTCCCTTGTGCTCCTATTGTCCTCTGTCCATGTCTCCATTACAACACTTACAATGACGCTCAGATAATTTGTTTAATGTATGGGCAAGGAATGTATTCAATTTATCTCCAGTAACAGCACCTAACTTATTACCTGGACCACTGAAAGCATCTGATAAGTATTTGCTGAATAAGTGAATATACTTAAAACATGAAGTGTTTTTTAAATACCCACACATGTGTACATACATCTATGAAGTGGAAGAGAAAATCCTGCTGACACTGCTAAATACAGATACATGTTTCACTTAAGTGATATACTTGATTAAAAGCATTATTTGATTTGCCAAAATAATTATGATGAGACAAGATGCTGGAATCTTTTTAATGAAACTGGAGAAAGAACTAGTCCTTACTTTGATCACATAAGAACCATACTATGAGACAGTTACTCAATATAACAAGTCTATTTATAAGCCTTATTTGTGGTTTTGTTCTTTCTGTTCTTATCTTTTCACTAAAGTCTATTTCTTTTCTATTAAAAATGAATAAACATGCCAGTATCTACTAATTTGGAACCATATGTAGAGATAAACATCCCTGCCAAAGTAGCAAAAAAAGGAAGGCTCATACTAGGATTTTATTGTGGCAGTCCTTACAATTATGTGTGGAGGAAGATAGAACTGAGGCAGAAAGTGGGTGGGTGTCACATGGAAAAGGGCAAAGACAACAGGTATGCAGGCTGTGAAAGCTGGCTCATTTGAAAGTACTGGTCCTCACATTAAGCAACTGCCATGTAACACACACTGTATCAAGGAAAAAGTATTATCTATCTAACATTTTACCAGTGAATACATGGCTGGGCATTATCATACAACCACCATAAAAACAAACAGAATTATTACTTTTATAGAAGAGTAATTAGGAATTCACTCCTACTTCTACTCCTCGCACACATTTACAGATTTGGTATAGGAAAAATATCTAGGCATTCTGCCAAGAGGGAAGTCCATATCAACCATGAACTGCTCACTTCTGTAAGTTATATAATCAGGTATACCTAAACCCATAAATTGAGTCAGAAACTTATAAACCTAAGTATGAAAGAAGATAACAAAAATACACAGAAAAAAGACAGTAAGAAATTCCTGATTAATGAAGACAGGTTTCTAATTGTTAAGCAATAAAATAAGGACAAGTCATCAGCCACTTACATCTAATTCCCAGTAATAATGAAAGATTAGGCTCCTTGCCCTGAGCTCGCTGATTAAGAATACTGCACAATGCTTTCAAGTCAAGCAAACAATAGGACATTTCTTTGAACAGCTGATCAATCACAGTCAAATCAAATAGTGGCCGTTTAGAAAGAACTGTCTGCTGCCTAGATTGGTCTGCTTCCTCGCCCTGATCCAATAAAGAGGATGTCTCTTCTGTTTGTCTTTGGTTCTGCAATGGCTGAAAAAAAAAGAGTTGTTAGAGGAAAAGTACTCAAAAGCAATATAGGTTTAATGTTTTTTCTCCAAGACTATAAACAAGTTTATATTATCAGAATGCATGTCATATTACATGCATATCAACCAAATTCAACTGCATATGTGCAATGTGAAAAAGAAATATATTAATATATATAGTGGACACAGTTCCTCTGATGCCTTAAGATAAACCTGAGAGAAAACCAAAAACCTATATCCAAAACAGCCTTAGGTTCTAGAATTTCTTATATAATGAACATCTTGGTTGTGTATATATTTTTCTATAATAAAATTTATTCAAAGGACAAAAAAAAACCTACAAAGAAACATTAGGCCAGATTCTATTATTTTTTACTGTTAATGCCAATAGTTATTTAATTACTTTGAAATGAATTTTTCTATATTGAGAAAAAAAGCTTGTTATTAATGTTGACAGAAACAAAAAATTTCAGTTTAATAGAAAAATACAAATACAAAACCAAAGATGGGAGAAAAATAATTCTGAATTGTTAAATTTGAGTTGGAAGCATTAATATTAACTCTTGACTTACTATATTCAGAAACTGCTACCCTTATATCCAAAATTATCACCTCCTTATCCTGAATACTGCTAATTAAGTTTAGATATGCATGATGGTGTGTGCCTGTAATCCCAGCAGCTCAGAGGCAGGAGGAGTTCAAAGCCAGCCTTAGCAACTTGGCGAGACCTGTCTCAAATTTTTTTAAAAAGGGCTGGGGATGTGGTTTAATGGTTAAGCACCCCCGGGTTCAATCCCTGGTACCCCCAAAAAGGATAAGTTTAAAGGGTTGAGGATTGTCAAGCATGTGCAAGGCTCTGGGTTTAATAGCCAGCACTCCAAAAAACAATATAAAACAAAAATTAGTAGTAGTAGTAGTAGTAGTAGTAGTAGTAGTAATAGTTTAATTAGCTGTCCACTTAGAGCTGTTTTTCAGAATAACCATTTATACCATTTTTCAATCATCTTATACTTTAGGCAATGATCGAGAAAGGGTACTGAAAAACTGCATATTCACACAGTCCCACAGATCCTTTGCTGTTTGCAAGGCCTATAACTTTACAATGCAAAAAGTCAGGCTGGGCCATAACCTTAACCCAGAGAAATCAGTTTGTCACTTACAGTGGAATAATCATACATTGCATATTCACACCAGAAGAATTTGACATGGATTTCACATCTTTACCTTAACTTTTGGAGATGCATTCTTAAATGTATATGGATGAAATATAATTATGACCGTTAAAATATGTACTTTTTTGTATAATAGGTCCTTACATACAGGTCAAATACTTTATTTCAAATGAGAAAGCATGATCTGTTCTAATGATGAACTGCCAACAATGCATCTTCCTTAAGGATTTTCAATGGTAATATTGTTTTGTTTTTTTGTGGTGCTGGGGATTGCCTTGTGTGTGCAAGGCAAACACTCTATAAACTGAGCTATATCCCCAGCCCAAGGGTAATTTTGTTTATATTCAATTTATGCCTGATTTATTTTTCACTTTGGGACCAAATGTTCAGACAGCATTTGGCTTTGCTTTAGAATACCATTTTATAGATTTAACTATAAGAAAAATAAATTTGTTTTTGATTTTCATAAGAAACCTAATGAATTTAATTAACTGGCACATCATAGTCAAGTCTCCTTGAAAACTTTCTATTAATATGTACAAAATCAAAATAAGCATTGGCTTAAACTTAAATAGGTAGTGAATCATCCTTTCAAGGCAGTCTGAATTTCATCTACTCACTTCAAGCAGTGCTTTTGTTAATCTTTGCAGGTTTCTCTCTTTCCTCTCCAGTTCTTCCATCATCTTTTGTGTGTTTAATTTTTCTTTAGAAAGTTTGCCCTGCATTGACTAGAACAATAACAACAAAAATTGTAAAGCAAAGCATGTTAACACACATACAGGTAACAAGGAATATTGAGTCTGAATAATTTCAATTTTTTTCCCTTCCTAGTTTCTGAGAAGATTAAATCTTTACTTTAAAAATGACTCATTACTTATAGAGTGAATGGCTTCAAGAAGAAAGTAAAAAACAAACAAAAAACTTCATAAGCAAATGTTTAATCTGTGTAAAACACATCAAATTTAAAGGTGTTATTTAATGTTACATGACAAATAATTCTTATTTTTTTTGCTTATTGGCAATATGTTAGCACAGTCTCCCTTCTCTGTTTACTAACTATGTTACATGGTGTTGATCTCAATCCATAAATTTATTGGGGGACTTCAATAAATTAAACTCTTTCTTACTCCTTTATAAAATTACAAATCATCTAGATATGATACTATTATAAGAAAACCCTGAGTTGACCAAGGTTACATAGAGGACATTTTTAGAGTACTTAGATTATTTGAGCTGATTAATCCGAATTTTCATCTTACACTAATGAAAACCTTGCCATAAATTCTATAGTTACTAGTGAATTCTAGGTATTCTATCAGCTTTTTTCCTTTGGTTAGACCACAAAATCAACAAACACATGACCAGGGAAGAATATCTTTTTTTTCCTTCCAGGTCTGTRTTTATTCTCAACTCAAAATACTCCAATATAGTGACTACCCAAAACATAATTCATAGAATTTATATTAGAGTTTTTTCTGCATTATCTTTGGATGGAATAAGAGAGACAGCTATCACCAAGGACGAGAGAGAAGGATATAGACTTCTTAGTAAYAGACATTCAAATTTAATTTACTCTAAATAATGAAAACATATTTAAAAAACTCAAAAGATGGATAAAAACCAATAAAACCATGTAATAATACATTTTCTTCCAAGAAAAAAAATGTTCTATATGTGACAAAAATGTAATTCACAGCATGCAGACATATGAGACTCTCTGTGTATATTTTTAGACACTAAAATTCCTTCATAATTCATTGATTCAATGACATATGGAGAATTATTTGTCCTGCAAAGATTTTCTGACCTGATAAGATTTGGCTGTAATCCAGAATTCAAACTAAATTTTCTTAAATTTTGTGACTGCTTATTAGAATTATATTAGAAAAGCATCATAGATAAACTACTCTAAAACTCACATCTTAACACTGAAAACTGAACCGAAGAGGGATGTTTTCATAATGTCATAATATAATTCTTTAAAAGCTCATGGTGTGTTATATTTCAACCAATTCAGAGTCACCTTGAATGCAACTAATAATTAGCTAGTGACTCATGTTTCTATGTAAGACTAAATTTAAATCGATGATGGATGACACAGGCAGCCTTCTTCATTAGAAAAGGAGAAGTGTTTGGCAGTGGTGCTATTTGTCAAAAGAAGGAAAACTGGATTTGGTAAATAACATCAAGGTTAACATGTAAGATTGGGTGTACTTAAGGGTACTTATCAGGAAACCCCTTAACAGGGGAAAGAGCTCACAGATGAGCTTTTCCTAGAAGGTTCAAATTGTACCATTTCTAGGATAACACCAGGAATGAGTGTTGGAGCTGTCAGACAGCAACCTCTCACCACAAAAACATTAATTACCTCTTTATCCTAAATTGTATGAAAAAGTATATATTTTAGGATTTGAAGATAAAGGGAGAAAAAAACCTATACTTATGGGCTCATCAGATTCAAATTAAGACAAAATAGAATAAAGTCTGATTATTAAACTACATCTCCAAAATGAAGTTCATGTAAAAACATAATAACATTTCTTATTTTATTTATTTACTACTCATCACTGGGCTACATGCCTAGCACTTTTTTATTTTTGAGGTGCAGTCTTGCTAAATTGCCCAGGCTGGACTCCATCCTTCTTTCTCAGCCTCTTAAATAACTGGGATTATAGGCATGCCTCACCACACCTGGCTCTTTGTAGGGGTTTGTTGTTGTTGTTGATTTTTTGTAACCATTCTATCCTTTAACAACAGAGGAGGTTTTGGTAAGTAGTTTCTTTTGGGTATTTTAACATAAAATCATATAAGCTTTTGAGACGTGTTAGTTTTTATAAATGCAAAGACATATTTTTTGACATATAAATCCATAATACCAAGTTTGTACATTTTATCTGTAAGATAAAAAACTCTATAGAAGTTTCAGTTTTTTATTCTATCAAGAATAAATAATGCATGTTATTTCACAAAAGAATTTTGCAAAGCAGTTTTTTGCTCAAAATGGTGGCACAGTACACTTAAATAAAATAACCTATATTATTTACTGAAATAAATATTTGATTTTTGTGAAGTTCAAAATAACAAAGTTTATAATTCACTAGACATATGGGGGCTTATTAAAATTAAAAATTTAAATTAAGTTCAAATGTCTATATCTCTTAAATTCCCATGTAAATAATATTTTTTAAAAATTCTGCTAAGTTACTAACCTACTGGTATATACTATGTTCATTTCTGAAGTTGAAGATACTTCTAAGTCTTTGATGTCAAATATTTTGGGAATGACCCATATACAAAAAGCTCAAATGAAGGAAAGCCAGATGTACCTTAGCTAGCAGATTTTATCTACTCTATACACACAACAAGAAATACTTAGGAAAAAAAACATTAGTTCTACAACACACATATACACAAATATATGCACATGTTCAGATATGCTCAAATTTTACAGTTACATTATGCAATTACTCATATAAACACAATTCTGTGAACAAAACAGTCAAAGCTCTTGGCCTTCACAAATATTTTATTAGGTAGAAAAAGACTAAAGGAAACAAAGTAAATATAACATAGTTTTGTGTGTTATAATTTGATTACTACTGTCGAGAACAAATAGAGTATTGTAAAATCTTAAGGAGGCTAGAGAGTAAGGGCTTCTGGAAAAGGTGACACTTAAGCAAAGGTCTGAAGTAAATAAGAAAGAAGGTTCTCCAGATATCTCGAAAGAGTGTTTTAGTCAGTGCAAAGGTTCTAGGGAAGATCTGTGTTTGCTAAACAGCAAACACAAGACAACCAGCATACTAAGAACAGTGGAGCTACAGTAGGGTCAGAGATGAAGGCAGCATGGAAAACAGAGTGGGTAGGGTCTCCTAAGTCCTAAGGAGCAGTTGAAAAGTTCTGAGTAGACACATGATGTATTCTGATTTTTGTTCAATAGGATCACTCAGACAGATGAGAACAGACTGTGGGCAGAGAAGGATGGAAACAGGAAGAAACAAAGATGGTTTAGAGCAGGGTGGCAATGGAGGTGAATCTGGAAGCAACCAGATTCTAGATATACTGTGAAGGTGTGAATGTGAGATAAGAGAAGAGCTAAGAATAATTCTAAGATTTCTAGACTGAGCACAGAGAAGGCAGATTAGCTATTAATGAGTAGTTTCCAAATTCAGCACAGTGGGTGAATTTTCTTGTGAGCAAAGACTTTTGCTTGTTTTGTTCACTAGTTATCCCCTAGAAAAGTGACCCATGGTACAATCTCAGAAAAAATTATTGAATGAACTAAACTAATGAGTCAATGCAAAAGTAAYCAGTCAATACCTAATTTGTTTTTTGTTTTAATAAAAAGGCTATTTCACTCATTTAACAAATATTTACTGGGCATCTTTTTCTGTGCAAGGCCCTATGCCAAATGCCAAACTGGATAAAGACTATTCATTATAAAGCTCCTAAAACAAATGTAACAGAAAATACGATGAGGCATTTTATTTGAGCTCAAGGAACTACTAATACCACCATCATAGTGTAGACTGCAATATATTAAAAAATACATTTCACTTTGGAGACAAAATTTCCCAATTATACTTCAGRGCAATTGAATTTAAAGGTGTTTTCCACAGAAGATCCTGGTTTTCTGATGTGCAGCAGTTTAAAAATCATTATGGGAAAAGACCTTTCATTTAAAATGATTTGTCATTAGAGCCTCCATACAGAAGGAATCAGACAACACAGTTGGTGCATTTTTGCTTTTCTTTTGGAATTTTTCACTTTGAGGAAGCTAAGAGTAATGTCAAGAACATAAATATTTGATGTCAAAAGGACATGAATTAGAATCTTAGTTGTAACCTCTTTCAGCTCTTCCATGTATTAAAAAATATGTTTTCTTACTTTGTAAGGTGACTGAAGTTTAGAGATAACAAATATTAACCAGAGAGCAGACTTCCTGTAACATGTGATATCATCATTACTTCACCGCCACCTTAACAAACACTGTGCTTGGCACCAGAAGCTTTATTTCTCACTTTGGTCTAAGTATGGGCAAATGTTAAATCCTTTTTCCTGCTGGGCACAGTGGCACATGCCTATAATCCCAGCAACCTGAGAGACTGAAGGAGGAGGATTACAAATTCAAGATCAACCTCAACAACTCAGCAGGCCCTAAGCAACTGAGCAAGACCCTGTCTCAAAATAAAAAGGAACTGGGGATATGACTCAGTGGTTAGGCGCCCCTGGGTTCAATTTCAAGTACCCCCACACATGCCTCCCCCCACCAAAAAAAACCCTTTTCTTCATTCCTGTGGGTAAATTTTCAAAATACTTGTAAAAACTAAAAAAGCAAACAAGAATTATGCAAATGCCATTTTTTAGTTTCCTGTTTATAAGAATCTAAGATCATCTACAGCTCTAATTCCTTTCTTCAGTTAGCTGTCATTTTGCATTCTGACATAACTCTGAAAACAACTGCCTGAGAGTTCTGCTTTCAGCACAATGGCATGAGAAACTCTGCAGACTTGCTCCTCAACAAAATGGGTGAATATTAGAAAACATTTAAAGTTTCTGGAAATGATCCTAAAAGCAGGCAGGCAAATGAAGAAACAGATATTTATTTGAGAAAAATCAGGAAAGCAAGAGACTGATTTGCAAAACAAGACTCACCCTATCCCTCTTTCATAGATTGAGATAGAACTTCCACCCCAGACTCTCGCTCAATAATACAGGGTTCCCTCTCTGC